CTTCACATGTACCCCAAAACCTAAAATGCAATAAAATAAATAAATGGAAAAAAAAAAAAGAACAAATTTAACTTTTCCTTTTCAAGGCCCACAAAAGCTACATTATACATCAATAAATATACATCCTCATTTTTTTTTTAAGTTTTTGTCTAGATTATTGAAAATTGCAAAATGGGCCCGGCATGGTGGCTCATGCCTATAATCCCAGCTACACAGGAAGCTGAGGCAGGAGAACTGCTTGAACCCAAGAGCCAGAGGTTGCAGTGAGCAAAGATCGCACCACTGCACTCCATCGTAGGCAACAGAGTGAGTTGAAAGACTCTTTCAAAAAAACAAAACAAATTTTAAAACTGTAGAATGAATCTTTAGCCAAAAAAAGAAGTTTGAATCCAGAAGAACCAACCTTTAGGGCCAATTCATATGTAGCTGAGCTCCAGATATCTCTTTCTGCCATTAACTGTTTCATATCATTCTCCATCCTTTCTCTTTGTAATGTGTATAAATCATGATATTCTTCTACCATTCTATAAAAACAATTAAGAAACAGCTTCATTTAATTTACACTAACAATATATGTTTTTTAAAAGAAATTTGTTTTAAAATAGGTAATGTGTTCCTTTAAAACTTATCATAAGGTAATTATGGTATAATTGTTGAATGTATTGATAACACTTAAATACGGTGAAATAGAAAAAAATTCACATTTAATTTACAAATCTTATGAAACTCTTAGTGAAAGTAAAAATCTTATACATTGCTCCTGCTTTAAACACTTTTCATCTTATTCTTTATTTTTTCACTAGAATTCTGACAACATGATATTCCAATGGTATAACACCATATCTAATGAAAAATTCAGAATACAGGTAACAATAACCTAACAGTTTATTGTTAAGGTTTGCTCACAGACCTAAGATTCTTTATGAAAGGCACAAAGCCCAAGAATTGTGAGCCATTAAAATTTTAAATTATACATAATTATCATAAGATTAAAGAAAATTGTCCCTTAACCATTTAAAATCTTAAATAAAGTAGCTTTTTCTTAACTATTGCTTCTTTATATCTACCAGAACATACCTTTTCCTTTCAATTTACACTTAAGCTTCATTTAAAATTAAAAGACGGTCCAGGTGCAATGGCTCACGCCTGTAATCCCAGCACTTTGGGAGGCTGAGGTGGGCAGATCACCTGAGGTCAGGAGTTTGAGACCAGCCTGACCAACATAGAGAAACCCAGTCTCTACTAAAAATATAAAATTAACTGGGCATGGTGGCACATGCCTGTAATCCCAGCTACTCAGGAGGGTGAGGCAGGAGAATCACTTGAACCCAGGAGGCAGAGGTTGCAGTGAGCCAAGATCATACCACTGTACTCCAGCCTGGGAAACAAGAGCAAAACTCTGTCTTAAAAAAATAAATTAAAAGACTTCCTGGCTGAGTACGGTGGCTTACACCTGTAATCCCAGCACTTTGGGTGGCCAAGGCAGGTAGATCACCTGAAGTCAAGAGTTCGAGACCAGCCTGGCCAACATGGTGAAACCCCATCTTTACTAAAAATTCAAAAATTAGCCGGGTGTGGTAGAGTCTGCCTGTAGTCCCAGCTATCTGGGAGGCTGAGGCATGAGAATTGCTTGAACCCAGAGGCAGAGGTTGCAGTGAGCTGAGATCACACCACTGCATTCCAGCCTGGGCAATAGAGTGAGATTGTCTTAAAAAAAAAAAAAAAAAAGGAATATTATAAGACCTTCTGAGGTAAATACAAACATAGAAGTTATAAACTAAAAAACAGCATTTCACAAATCTTTTGAAACACTTCCTCCCAAGGACTTTGCAATAAGAATTAAAGGTCACTGAAGTAGAATTCTTCTAGTCTTAGAGGCTTTCATTTGTTCAAAATAATAAAGAAAAAAATCATACCAGCGAATACACATGTAAAAGTTCACTGAGCTATACTCTTAAGATCTGTGCACTTCATTGCCTAAAAATTGGACCTCAATTTTCAAAAGAGAATTAATGACCCTAATTTAACAGCAAAAGCAAAAAATCTAGAATCTCAGTGTCCAACAACAAAAGAGTGGTCAGATAAAAATAGAATGTAGTTAGGCTGGGCGTGGTGGCTCACGCCTGTAATCCCTGCATTTTAAGAGGCCGAGGCAGATGGGTCACAAGATCAGAAGATCGAGACCAGCCTGACCAACACGGTGAAACCCTGTCTCTACTAAAAAAACAAAAATTATTGGACTGGAACAACTTGAAAGTTCATTGGACAAAAAACAGTAACACAAAAAAAATTAGCTGAATGTGGTGGCACATGCCTGTAATCCCAGCTACTCAGGAGGCTGAGGCAAGAGAATTGCTTGAACCCGGGAGACAGAGGTTGCAGTGAGCTGAGATCACATCACTGCACTCCAGACTGGGCGACAAAGCGAGACTCTGTCTCAAAAAATATATGTGTGTGTGTGTTTGTGTGTGTGTGTGTACATATATAATGTAGTTCTATGAGTTAAAAAAAAAACACTCTGCAGATAATTAAACATCATCATATTCTTATTTTGTTTTTTGGTGTTTTTTTTTTTTTTTTTTTTTTTTAATTAAGTTTTACTCTTTTCCCCCAGGCTGGAGTGCAATGGTGCAATCTCGGCTCACTGCAACCTCCACACCCGGCTAATTTTTGTGTTTTTAGTAGAGACAGGGTTTCACCATGTTGGCCAGAATGGTCTCAAACTCCTGACCTGAAGTGATCCGCTCGTCTTGGCCTCCCAAAGTGCTGGGATTACAGATGTGAGCCACTACACCTGGCCAAACATATTCTTAATACTTTCGTAAATGGGAAATTTCTTCATGCTATAATATAAAAGGAAATATCTGAAATGCTAGAATTATAAATTGTTTGATCTCATTTTTGTTTAAAAAAAAAATACATACAGAAAGTTCTAGCCCGGGTAATTTGGCATGTGAAAGAAATAAAGGGCAACCAAATTGGAAAGAAGGAAGTCAAATTGTTCCTGTTTACAGACAGCAAGATCTTATATATTTAAAAAACAAACAAACCTAAAAGTGGCATCAAAACACTCTTAGAATTGATATACAAATTCAGTAAAGTTGCAGGATACAACATCAACATACAAAAATCAGCAGTGTTTCTAAACACCAACAATGAAACAGTAGAAAAGAAATCAAGAAAGCCATCCCATTCATAATAGCTACCAACAAAGGACATCTAGGAATAAATTTAATCAAGAAAGTGAAAAATACCTACAAAAAAAACTTCAAAACACTGATGAAAGAAATTGAAGAGACACAAATAAACTGAAAGCCATACCATGCTTCTGGATCAGAATAATTTATATCATTAAAATGAACATATTGCCCAAGCAATCTACAAATTCAATGCAGCCCCTATCAAAATACCAATGTCATTTTTTGCAAAGAAAGAAAGAAAAGAAATGAAAAAAACAAAACACACTTTAGGAGTCAAGGCAGGAGGATTATTTGAACCCAAGAGTTTGAGACTAGCCTAAGCAACATGGTAAGACCATGTTTCAGGAAAAAAAAAAAAAAAATTAGGGCCGGGCACGGTGGCTCAAGCCTGTAATCCCAGCACTTTGGGAGGCCGAAGCGGGTGGATCACGAGGTCAAGAGATCGAGACCATCCTGGTCAACATGGTGAAACCCCGTCTCTACTAAAACTACAAAAAGTTAGCTGGGCATGGTGGCACGTGCCTGTAATCCCAGCTACTCAGGAGGCTGAGGCAGGAGAATTGCCTGAACCCAGGAGGCGGAGGTTGCGGTGAGCCGAGATCGCGCCATTGCACTCCAGCCTGGGTAACAAGAGTGAAACTCCGTCTCCAAAAAAAACCAAAAAAACAAAAAAATTAGGCAGGCACCAGGCACTCTAATGTGTACCTGTAGTTCCAGCTACTCAGTAGGTTGATGTGGAAGGATTGCTTGAGCATGGAAGTCAAGGGTGCAGTGAGCCATGATCATGCAACTGCACTCCAGCCTGGGTGACACAGTGAACCCCATCTCTATAAGGAATTTTTCATAAAATTAGCCAGGCATGGTGGCTCATGCCTGTAATCCTAGTACTTTGGGAGGCCAAGGCATGATCACTTGAGGTCAGGAGTTCAAGACCAGCCTGCCCAACATGGCAAAACCCCACCTCTACTAAAAATACAAAAATTCACCAGATATGGTGGCATATGCCTATAGTCCCAGCTACTTGGGAGGATGAGGCAGGAGAATAGCTTGAACTCAGGAGGCAGAGGTTGCAGTGAGCCAAAATCACACCACTGCACTCCAGCCTGGGCATCAGAGTGAGACTCTGTCACAAAAAGAAAAAAGAAAAAAGAATTTTTTGTAAAATTGGAAAAAAATGACTATTAAATCAGATGCATAGATAGTAATGTAAGAACACAGGAAACATGAAAAATAATTATCTAGTAACAAATCTCAACAAAAAGGAAATTTATGAAATATCTGAAAAAGATTTCAGAATAATTATATTAAATAAACTCAATGAGATACAAGAAAACACAGATAAAGAACACAAATAAATCAGAAAAACAATTCATGATCTGGATGAGAAATTCAACAGAGATAGGTATCATAAAAAGGAATGAAACAGAAACCCTGGAATTGAAGAATTCAATAAATGAAATTAAAAATACACTTAAGAGCTTAAACAATAGACTAGATCAAGTAGAAGAAGGAATTTCTGACCCTGAAGACAGGTCTTTTGAAAAAACCTAGTCAGACTTTAATAAAGAAGAAAGAGAAAAGAATGAAAAACAATAAAGAAAGCTTATGTGGTTATAATGGGACACTGTAAAATGACCACATTTTTTTAATTTGGGGAGTTTCAGAAAGAAAAGAGATAGACAAAGACACAGAAAACCTATTTAACAAAATAATAGCTAAAAATTCCCAAATCTTGCAAGAGATAAAGACATCCAGATACAGGAAGCTCAAAAATCCCCAATATAATCAACCCACAAAGATATTTTCTGAGGCATATTATAGTTAAACTGTCAAAAGTCAGGGACAAAGGGAGAATCCTAAAAACAGCAAGAGAAAAGCATCAAGTTACATATAAGGGAATCCACATCAGACTAATGGATTTCTCAGCAGAAGCCTTAGGCCAGGAAAGGATGGAATTATATATTCAAAATGCTAAAAGGAAAAAAAACTGCTAGCCAAGAATTCTATACCTAGCAAAGCCATCCTTCAAAACTGAAGGACAAAAAATCTCTTTCTCAGATAAGCAAAAACTGAAAAAAATTATCACCACCAGACCAGCCTTAAAGGAGTCCTATATTTGGAAGCAAAAAGACAATACCTACCATCATGTAAACACATCAAAGTAAAAAAATCTCACTGGTAGAGCAGAAACACAAAAGAGAAAAAGAAAGGATTCAAATGTGTTTCCACTATATAAAATTACCAAACAGAAATGATAAACAATAAGAAGAAAGGAAAAAAAGCTATACAAAATAATCACAATATAATTAACAAAATGACAGGAATAAGTCCTCACCTATCAATAATAACCTTAAATATAAAAAAATTAAATTCTCCCATGTAAAATATATAGATTGGCTGAATGGATACAAAAACACAACCTAAACATATGCTGCCTCCAAAAAACTCACTTCGCTTGCCAAAACATATATAGCCTAAAAGTGAAGAGATGGAAAAAGACATTCTATGCAGATAGAAACCAAAGCAAGCAGGAGTACCTATACTTGTACCAGATAAAGCAGATTTTAAGTCAAAATCTATAAAAAGAGACAAAAAAGGTCATTATATGAAGACAAAGTGATCAATTCAGAAAAAAAGTATAACAACTCTAAATATATATGTACCCAACCCTGGAGTACCCAGATGTATAAAGCAAACATTATTAGATCTAAAGGGAGAGATGAAATGTAATGCAATAGTTGGGACCTTCAAAACCCTACTCTCAGCATTCAAAAGATCATCTAGACAGAACATTAACAAAGAAACATTGGATTTAAGTCACACTTTGGAACAAATGGACATAACAGGAATTTACAAAACATTTTATCCAACAGCTGCAGAATACACATTCTTCTCATCAGCACATGAAACATTCTCCACAAATGGCAATATGCTAGGTGACAAAATGAGTCTCAACAAATTTTTAAAAACTGGAAACATATCAAGTATCTTCTTAGACCACAATGAAGTAAAACTAGAAATTAATAACAAGAGACACTTTGGAAACTGTACAAACATGTGGAAGTTAAACAACATGCAAATGAATGATCACTGGGTCAGCAAATAAATTTTTTAATGTCTTGAAACAAATGAAGCACAGGCCTATGGGATAATGCAAAAGCAGTGCTAGGAGGGAAGTTCATAGTAAAAACTACCTCTATCAAAAAAGCAGAAAGATTTCAAATAGACAACCTAATGATGTACCTCAAGGAACTAGAAAAGCAAGAACAAACAAAACCCAAAATTAGTAGAAAAAAAACAAGTCATGAATGTCAGAACAGAAACAAATAAAAGAGAGACTAAAAAAATGCAAAAGATCAACAAAATAAAAAGTTCATTTTTTGAAAAAATAAAATGAATAAATGTCTAGCTAGATTACCCAAGAAAAAAAGAGAGATGGCTCAAGCAAATAAAATCAGAAACACAAAAAAATAGGTATTACACTGAAATACAATCATGAACAACAATCGACTAAAAAATTGGAATACCTAGAAGAAATAGACATACTCCTGGACACAAAGGAACTGTACCATTCCAAGTGCTTTACTTTAATACTCATAATAGCCCTATGAGGTAGATAATATTATTATCCCGGTTTTAAATATGGGCAAACTTAGGCCCAGAAAAGTTAAGTGACTTCCCCAAGGTCACACAGCAAGCAGTATGGTTCCAAAATCTATGCTATCTATGCACACTGCCTCTTTATACTTTCTTGTAGAAAACCAGAAAGTAATAGCCTGCAATCCTCACTCAACAAAAATGATTAAGGTTGAAAGCAACAGTCTATTTCCAAGAGAAAAATCATGTTTTACCTTCTTTCCACCCAGAATGAGAAATCAACTAAAATCAGATAAAGTAAGCTATAAGTGTTTTTAGAATTCAGTAAGTTAGTGTCATATGCATTATTTCAGAAGCTATATAAGCTTCTCTTTCCCCTATGTAAGCTACATAACTTTAAGCAACTCACCGGGCATTCTTTTCAGCATCTAAAAGAGCTTGTGCCAAATCCTTGTGGGCCTTTTCTGTTTCCTTTGTTAATTTTACATCATGTGCCTGAACTAGACACAGTTCCCTGGAATAAAGCAAAGAAATTTTAAATTCATATTTGGAGACTTCCAAGAAGTTTCTACCCAGGAAATCAGATTTATACTCAGGAATCTTCTCAGTTATCATGCGTACTTCCCTTCCTAGTTTTTCCACCTTATAAACCAAACCAAGAAATTGAGTATACATTCTAGATGGAATTTTGCCAGGTTTGGAAATAGAATCAGGCGGGCAGAAATCAGGCAGAAAGAAGATGTAGGGGAGATCCTTTAGAATAGAGGGAGGCAGATGTGGACATGCAAGGCCTCCATGCTGGCTGACCCCACTTTCTGATACGCCTATCCTACCTTCTTTATTCTCACCACTAATCACCTTGCTTTAAGGTTAGACATTAGATGATTACTAACTTTGAGGGCTTTATGGTACTTACTTTCTTTGAGATGTGAACCTCAATATCCATAATCACAGCAGTGCTCTGTAAACTGACTAAGGTAAACATCTGTATTTTACTTTATTTTTATTTTTGTTTTTCGAGGCAGGGTCTTGCTCTGTCACCCAGGCTAGAGTGCAGTGGCGCGATCTCGGCTCACTGCAACCTCCCAGGTTCAAGCAATTCTCCTGCCTCACCCTCCCCAGTCGTTGGGATTATAGGCATGAGCTACCATGCCCAGCTAATTTTTTGTATTTTTAGTACAGATGGAATTTCACCATGTTGGCCAGGCTGGTCTCGAACTCCTGACCTCAAGTGATCTGCTCACCTTAGCCTCCTGAAGTGCTGGGATTACAGGCATGAGCCACCGTGCCTGGTAACATCTGTATTTTAGAAGAAAGAGCAAGTCTTTTCTATGTCAAATATATAAAGAATCTTCATTTTTGTGTGAACTTGCATAACCCATTTCTCTATATCTCTATCTACAACGATATCTAGTCCTGTTTGTTCTCTTGCTAAACATGAAAACAGAAGAACTTTGACCTTTAACCATTCCACTTTCCCTAAATATTTTTTACTCCCTTTAAAGACATGACATTGACTTTTGTTTTGTGTTTAAGATAATCACAATTTTTACCTGGTCAGTTCTTCAATAACATGCTTGAAATTATACAATTCTTCTAAAATGCGCTGGTCCATCACTCGCTGAGTTACCAAGTCTTTGTAGAAATCAATCATCTGCCGGGCAATCTGGTCAAGCATTTGCACATACCTCTCTCTGCATGAAAAACAACAAAAAGCTCCTATATCTGATAAGTGAATTCAGTAAATTCTCAGCTTACAGAATCAGTGTATGCAAATCAGTAGCACTGGTATATACCAAGAAAACCAAGCTGAGAATCACATCAAGAAATCAACCCCTTTTACAACAGCTACAAAAAAAAGAAAATACTTAGGAATATACTTAACCAATGAGATGAAAGATCTCTACAAAGAACGCTAACTAAAAAACACTGCCAAGGGCCGGGCGCGGTGGCTCAAGCCTGTAATCCCAGCACTTTGGGAGGCCGAGGCGGGTGGATCACGAGGTCAAGAGATCGAGACCATCCTGGTCAACATGGTGAAACCCCGTCTCTACTAAAAATACAAAAAATTAGCTGGGCATGGTGGCGCATGCCTGTAATCCCAGCTACTCAGGAGGCTGAGGCAGGAGAATTGCCTGAACCCAGGAGACGGAGGTTGCGGTGAGCCGAGATCGTGCCATTGCACTCCAGCCTGGGTAACAAGAGCGAAACTCCGTCTCAAA